AACCAACCATTTGTGGAGAACAGGCTCATCAAGAGAGGTACCTTGATGCCAGTGAAGGGACCTTGATCCAAAGAGTTTGAGCTATTCTCCCCTTTCTGACTGTTTCTTGTTTCCCAGTGGCTGTAACCTTTCTAGAATCAAGCCTGATTGTCTCCCATTCCCCAAGCACTGTATGGACCCTACAGGTTTAGCACTTTCTCCTAAATATAATAAGAGTATGACCCTCATGACTGTAATATATTTGTTTTTAATTTATTTAAATTTAGTGATGGATTTTGTAATTTAGTGACACTTGTATTAAACACCTGCATAGCTTAGATTGTTTTTTTTTGTCTGGAATATTGAATTTTGTCTTCAAGACTTATAAATGTTTATTTGTACATGTGTTAAATAAACATTAACAAGCCTAGTACGTATATTTTTTTTCCTGATTTTTTGTAAATTTGCACCCCTTGGGGGAGGTTCCTTGATGCTGGTGAGGAGCTCTTGCTCTAGGGAATTGGATCTGTGCTCCAGTTTCCCGAATTAAGCCTGAGTGCCTTCCATATACCCTCCAACCAAAGGCACTGTATAATCCCTACAGGTTTAGCGCCCCCTGTGATTACGAATTAGCAATGCCTTGGTGTCGGTGAGGGGCTCTTGATCCAAGGAAGCAGACATTTTCTTCCCTCACCTGGATCATATCTGAATCCCTCTTGTTCCAGGCAATGTCTGGCCGCTATAGGTATAGTGCTTTTCTGTGATTACAATAGACATAAATCTTAAATGGTATTCCCATCAATGTCTTTGGTACTTTCTTGGGTTACAAATTCTCTTCCAAGAAAGGTGGCTTGATACTGATGATGGGACTCTTGATCCAAGGAACTGGAGGCTGCCTTCTGATTCCTTAGATCAAACTTAATTTTCTCCCATTACCAAGAGTTTGCAAGGTATGTTACGACACCAGCCATAGGATAAACTCGTCAAAACCTGTGGCAACAGATGGTCGAAATTTGGACTTTTTCACATACCGAGTCATCACTGTAGAACCCTTGATGGTTTAGTGCTTAGTTTTGATTATAATAACCCTTAAGGGTTTAGCACTTTATGATTTGTGTACATGTTTGTAACTAGTTCCTCTAGGATTTTCCTGGAGTTTACCTGGAGTTTACCTGGAGAGAGTTCCGGGGGTCAACGCCCCCGCGGCCCGGTCTGAGACCAGGCCTCCTGGTGGATCAGAGCCTGATCAACCAGGCTGTTGCTGCTGGCTGCACGCAAACCAACATACGAGCCACAGCCCGGCTGATCCGGAACTGACTTTAGGTGCTTGTCCAGTGCCAGCTTGAAGACTGCCAGGGGTCTGTTGGTAATCCCCCTTATGTGTGCTGGGAGGCAGTTGAACAGTCTCGGGCCCCTGACACTTATTGTATGGTCTCTTAATGTGCTAGTGACACCCCTGCTTTTCATTGGGGGGATGGTGCATCGTCTGCCAAGTCTTTTGCTTTCGTAGTGGGTGATTTTCGTGTGCAAGTTCGGTACTAGTCCCTCTAGGATTTTCCAGGTGTATATAATCATGTATCTCTCCTCCTGCGTTCCAGGGAATACAGGTTTAGGAACCTCAAGCGCTCCCAATAATTGAGGTGTTTTATCTCCGTTATGCGCGCCGTGAAAGTTCTCTGTACATTTTCTAGGTCGGCAATTTCACCTGCCTTGAAAGGTGCTGTTAGTGTGCAGCAATATTCCAGCCTAGATAGAACAAGTGACCTGAAGAGTGTCATCATGGGCTTGGCCTCCCTAGTTTTGAAGGTTCTCATTATCCATCCTGTCATTTTTCTAGCAGATGCGATTGATACAATGTTATGGTCCTTGAAGGTGAGATCCTCCGACATGATCACTCCCAGGTCTTTGACGTTGGTGTTTCGCTCTATTTTGTGGCCAGAATTTGTTTTGTACTCTGATGAAGATTTAATTTCTTCATGTTTACCATATCTGAGTAATTGAAATTTCTCATCATTGAACTTCATATTGTTTTCTGCAGCCCACTGAAAGATTTGGTTGATGTCTGCCTGGAGCTTTGCAGTGTCTGCAATGGAAGACACTGTCATGCAGATTCGGGTGTCATCTGCAAAGGAAGACACGGTGCTGTGGCTGACATCCTTGTCTATGTCGGATATAAGGATGAGGAACAAGATGGGAGCGAGTACTGTGCCTTGTGGAACAGAGCTTTTCACCGTAGCTGCCTCGGACTTTACTCTGTTGACGACTACTCTCTGTGTTCTGTTAGTGAGGAAATTATAGATCCATCGACCGACTTTTCCTGTTATTCTTTAGCACGCATTTTGTGCGCTATTACGCCATGGTCACACTTGTCGAAGGCTTTTGCAAAATCTGTATATATTACATCTGCATTCTTTTTGTCTTCTAGTGCATTTAGGACCTTGTCGTAGTGGTCCAATAGTTGAGACAGACAGGAGCGACCTGTTTCTAAACCCATGTTGCCCTGGGTTGTGTAACTGATGGGTTTCTAGATGCGTGGTGATCTTGCTTCTTAGGACCCTTTCAAAGATTTTTATGATATGGGATGTTAGTGCTATTGGTCTGTAGTTCTTTGCTGTTGCTTTACTGCCCCCTTTGTGGAGTGGGGCTATGTCTGTTGTTTTAGTAACTGTGGGACGACCCCCGTGTCCATGCTCCCTCTCCATAGGATGGAAAAGGCTCGTGATAGGGGCTTCTTGCAGTTCTTGATGAACACAGAGTTCCATGAGTCTGGCCCTGGGGCAGAGTGCATGGGCATGTCATTTATCGCCTGTTCGAAGTCATTTGGCGTCAGGATAACATCGGATAGGCTTGTGTTCATCAAATTTTGTGGCTCTCTCATGAAAAATTCATTTTGATCTTCGACTCTCAGTCTGGTTAGCGGCTTGCTAAAAACTGAGTCATATTGGGACTTGAGTAGCTCACTCATTTCCTTGTTGTCATCTGTGTAGGACCCATCTTGTTTAAGTAGGGGCCCAATACTGGACCTTGTTCTCGATTTTGATTTGGCATAGGAGAAGAAATACTTTGGGTTTCTTTCGATTTCATTTATGGCTTTTAGTTCTTCCCGCGATATCATGGATCTTTTTTTGCCAGCATTTCAGGGCAAATCAAAAGACTGGGCAGACGATGCAACATCCCTCCAATGAAAAGCAGGGGTGTCACTAGCACATTAAGAGACAATACAATAAGTGTCAGGGGCCCGAGACTGTTCCTAAGTGTCAGGGGCCTGAGACTGTTCAACTGCCTCCCAGCATACATAAGGGGGATTACCAATAGACCCCTGGCAGTCTTCAAACTGGCACTGGACAAGCACCTAAAGTCGGTACCTGACCAGCCGGGCTGTGGCTTGTACGTTGGATTGCATGCAGCCAGCAGTAACACCCTGGTTGATCAGGCTCCGATCCACCAGGAGGCCTGGTCACAGACCGGGCCGCAGGGGCGTTGACCCCCAGAACTCTCTCCAGGTAAACTCCAGGTAATCACTGTACCAATTTAGGTACACATTTCTTAATTACTGCACCAATTTAGGCACAATTTGCTTAATTACTGCACCAATTTAGGCACAATTTGCTTAATTACTGCACCAATTTAGGCACAATTTGCTTAATTACTGTACCAATTTAGGCACAATTTGCTTAATTACTGTATCAATTTAGATACACATTTCTTAATTACTGCACCAATTTAGGCACAATTTGCTTAATTACTGTACCAATTTAGGTACACATTGCTTAATTATTGTACCAATTTAGGTATACATTGCTTAATTACTGCACCTATTTAAGCACAATTTGCTTAATTACTGTACCAATTTAGGCATAAGTTACCTAATTACTGCACCAATTTAGGCATAAGTTACCGAATTACTGTACCAATTTAGGCATAAGTTACCTAATTATGGTACCAATTTATGCATACATTACCTAATTACTGTACCAATTTAGGCATAAGTTACCTAATTACTGTACCAATTTAGGCATAAGTTACCTAATTACTGCACCAATTTAGGCATAAGTTACCTAATTACTGTACCAATTTAGGCATAAGTTACCTAATTACTGTACTAATTTAGGCATGTTACCTAATTACTAAATTACCTAAATTGGTACAGTAATTAGGTAACTTATGCCTAAATTAGTACAGTAATTAGGTAACTTATGCCTAAATTGGTACAGTAATTAGGTAACTTATTTACCTGAAGTTTACCTGGAACTCTCTCCAGGTAAATAAGTTACCTAATTACTGTACCAATTTATGCATAAGTTACCTATTTACTGTACTAATTTAGGCATAAGTTACCTAACTACTGTACCAATTTAGGCATAAGCTACCTAATTACGGTACCAATTTAGACATAAGTTACCTAATTACGGTACCAATTTAGGAATAAGTTACCTAATTATGGTACCAATTTAGGCATAAGTTACCTAATTACTGTACCAATTTAGGCACAAGTTACCTAATTACTGTACCAATTTAGGCATAAGTTAACTAATTACTGTACTAATTTAGGCATAAGTTACCTAATTATGGTACCAATTTAGGCATGTTACCTAATTATGGTACCAATTTAGGCATAAGTTACCTAATTACTGTACCAATTTAGACATAAGTTACTTAATTACTGTACCAATTTACACATAAGTTTCCTAATTACTGTAACAATTTAGGCGTAAGTTACCTAATTACTGTACCAATTTAGGCATAAGTTACCTAATTATGGTACCAATTTAGGCATAAGTTACCTAATTACTGTACCAATTTACCAATAAGTTGCTTAATCACAGTACAAATTTAGATATACACATAGAAACACAAAATACAAATTAACAAGCCATTAAAACCTTCTTCAACCAACATATTAAGATTCCCAAATGCCCATAATTAGGTAAAGTGGTCATTACATAGGCCCAAAACAGTGAAATAATTAAAATATATTGAAAAAAGTTGGTGGTAATTATCTTATCAGTAATAAACAGGAAGTTTGGGGCGGTGCTGTTGCTGTTTCTCACTTATCATCTATTTTCACCTTATTTCGTGAGTTTAGGGCACTTTTAGGTGTCTTATTTACCATTTTTGGATTCCCAGGAAGTTTTTACATATGTTTTATGGGGAATTTAGTGATTTTTTGTTATTTGAATGGTGTAAATTAGGCGAAATAAGAGTCTGGTAATTCCCATTTTGCTTCATGATTCGGGATTATTTTAATTATTTCTTCCTTATTTCGTAAATTTATGCTAATTTTCAGTGTTATATATTTTTGGGAGAGTTTTTGCACACGTTTTATGGGGAATTTAGTGGTTTTTATTTATTTAAATGATGAAAATGAGAGAAAATATGATGAGGTTGATCCCGTGTTTGTTCATTTGAGATTATTTTAATGATTTTTACCTTATTTAGTGAGTTTAGGACAGTTTTCAGTGTCTTATTTACCATTTTTGGACCTCCAGGAAGTTTTTCCATACGTTTTATGGGGAATATAGTGATTTTTTGTTATATAAATGGTGTAAATTAGGAGAAATATGAGAAGAATTTCCCCACTTTTGTTCATTTGTCGTTATTTTTAAGTATTTCTTCTTATTTCGTATTTCTATACCAATTTTCACTATATTTTATACTTTTTTTGGAGTTCCAGTAAATTATTCCATAAGTTTTATGGGAAACTTAATTATTTTCGATTATTTAAATGCTATAAATTATGAGAAATATGACTAATTCCTATTTTTGTTCATATTTTGAGATTTTTTTTATGTATTTACCACATTAAAGGGGGTTATTTTGATGTTGGTGAAGGGTTCTTGATCCGGGGATATGGGGCTACCATCCTCCTCCTCGGATCAAACTTCACCATTGCCCTTGTATAATATAACCCATACTAGTTTAGCGCTTTTTATTTATATAATTAGTATAATTCCTCCTAATTCTATTCAGATTTGAAAAGCAAAAAACTAATTATATTGATAAATATTAATTTTATTTCCTTTTTATTACATTATTACAGGTGAGGTTCCCAAGGTGTGTTTCTGGTACCTTCATTATTTTCTGACCTTGATGCTGATGAAGGGCTCTTGATTTAGGGATTTGGAGCTGCCCTGATTTTGGATCACACTTGTTTATCCCTCTTATTCCAATATGATCCTTGGGGGTTTAGTGCTTTCCATAAATGTATTGCATTACCCCCTATATTCTAGGTACTGTGACCCCTAGGGTTGCCACATAGCTCGTTGGTGAGAGCGCTCGACTCACAGTCGCAAGGTCCTGAGTTCGATTTCCAGTACAGGAAAACATATGTTAGCTTCCTTGCACCCTAATGAAAATACGTCACACTTTTCGACTTTGCATTATCCTAGGTTATATTCTAAATACTGATAATTTACTGTATAAAACCTTTGTAAAAGATTTAAATTAGAAGGATTAAGTAAAATCTTAATTCACCCCGTAATTCATCTAACATAAGATATTGTACGGATTTTTAACCCTGGAGGGTTAGCCACCCGTGATAACCCAAGAAAGTCAGTGCGTCGTCGAGGACTGTCTGTCTTATTTCCATTGTGGTCCACAATCTTGTCCCCCAGGATGCGACCCACACCAGTCGACTAACACCCAGGTACCTATTTGCTTCTAGGTGAACAGGACAACAGGTACAGTGGACCCCCGCATAACGATCACCTCCGAATGCGACCAATTATGTAAGTGTATTTATGTAAGTGCGTTTGTACGTGTATGTTTGAGGGTCTGAAATGGACTAATCTACTTCACAATGTTCCTTATGGGAACAAATTCGGTCAGTACTGGCACCTGAAAATACTTCTGGAATGAAAAAATATCGTTAACCGGGGGTCCACTGTATAAGGAAACGCGTTGAAATATTTCCACCCCGCTGGGAATCAAACCCGGGTCCTCCATGTGTGAAGCGAGAGCTTTGCCAGCCAGGCCGCGGGGCCAGCTATATGTTAGTTGAGTGCTGCTGGTCGCAGCAGTGAAAAAAAAAATATGTTAAAGTCCATTCCTGTTGGAATGTCATATCTCATGTCAGAAGTAAGTTTATTTAGGCACAGGTACACAGTAGTACAATTATCATACAGTGTAAATTACCTAGGATAACTCAAAAAAAAAAAAAAAAAGTAACTTATTTCCATTAGAGTCCTTGTATATTTAGATTGGGGTCCTGTGTAAGAACTCCAGTACACCTGCTGGAAGTACTTTCGAAGACCTCAGTGGAAGTACATATGTCAATCTCAATCTCAAAATAATGAATCCTAACTAGTCATAAGTTGGCCTGTGATACTCCAATACTGAAACTATGTACTGTGCCAAAACAAAAGCATTCACATTGCTAAACTCACAAACTAATATTTAGTCACTTAGCCATAATACCAACTTACCTCATAATTTTGTAATATTTTAAACTTAAGATTTAATTTAAGTCTGCCCGAAATGCCTAGCCATGCTAGGTGTTCTAGTGGTACACTCTGTAATGCCTAGCCATGCTAGGTGTTCTAGTGGTACACTCTGTAATGCCTAGCCATGCTAGGTGTTCTAGTGGTACACTCTGTAATGCCTAGCCATGCTAGGTGTTCTAGTGGTACACTTTGTAATGCCTAGCCATGCTAGGTGTTCTAGTGGTACACTCTGTAATACCTAGCCATGCTAGGTGTTCTAGTGGTACACTCTGTAATGCCTAGCCATGCTAAGTGTTCTAGTGGTACACTCTGTAATGCCTAGCCATGCTAGGTGTTCTAGTGGTACACTCTGTAATACCTAGCCATGCTAGGTGTTCTAGTGGTACACTCTGTAATGCCTACCCATGCTAGGTGTTCTAGTGGTACACTCTGTAATGCCTAGCCATGCTAGGTGTTCTAGTGGTACACTCTGTAATGCCTAGCCATGCTAGGTGTTCTAGTGGTGCACTTTGTAATGCCTAGCCATGCTAGGTGTTCTAGTGGTACACTCTGTAATTACCTAGCCATGCTAGGTGTTCTAGTGGTACACTCTGTAATGCCTAGCCATGCTAGGTGTTCTAGTGGTACACTCTGTAATGCCTAGCCATGCTAGGTGTTTAGTGGTACACTCTGTAATGCCTAGCCATGCTAGGTGTTCTAGTGGTACACTCTGTAATGCCTAGCCATGCTAGGTGTTCTAGTGGTACACTTTGTAATGCCTAGCCATGCTAGGTGTTCTAGTGGTACACTCTGTAATACCTAGCCATGCTAGGTGTTTCTAGTGGTACACTCTGTAATGCCTAGCCATGCTAGGTGTTCTAGTGGTACACTCTGTAATGCCTAGCCATGCTAGGTGTTCTAGTGGTACACTCTGTAATTATTATTTTACTACATGTAAACCACACAATAACCAAATTCTGTAAACTCAGCATTGTAATCCTTATAGAGAATAAACTTCGAATTGAATTGAATTCAATTGAATTTTTTTTTTTCGAGGGGGGTGGGGGCGGTTATCCTGCTAGGTAATTTACACATGTGTTACTGTGTAAAATAACCACAGGGGAGTTGAATGATGTATTCATCGTGGCCCGGTGGCCTGGTGGCTAAAGCTCCCGCTTCACACACGGAGGGCCCGGGTTCGATTCCCGGCGGGTGGAAACATTTCGACACGTTTCCTTACACCTGTTGTCCTGTTCACCTAGCAGCAAATAGGTACCTGGGTGTTAGTCGACTGGTGTGGGTCGCATCCTGGGGGACAAGATTAAGGACCCCAATGGAAATAAGTTAGACAGTCCTCGATGACGCACTGACTTTCTTGGGTTATCCTGGGTGGCTAACCCTCCGGGGTTAAAAATCCGAACGAAATCTTATCTTATCTTATCTTACCTAATGACCATATGTACTGTTATTGCCTTATTAATCTTAAGTTTGCCCGAAATGCTCTGTATATAAAGGGGCTTTTGGCATGTACACCCAACTGTTATATTCCTTTGTATAAACACGTATCATGTCTAAATAAAATATTATTATTATTATTATTGTTAATATTATTATTATTATTATTATTATTATTATTATTATTATTATTATTATTATTATTATTATTATAAATTAGTATAAAGATTTAACCCAGGATAACCCAATAAAATTGGACAGTGTGACTTATTTTAATTTAATTTGGGGCCTTGTCAGGTACTGGTGTTACTGTAGTAAGTCGCAATCTTTTTTCATTTTTATAAATTAACCTGTAGTGAAATACTATACAGAGACTTCCTTACATATGAACATTTATGTTGCAAACTTTTGATAATACAAACAGTTTACATACCCTAGAGTAGCCCAGAACCTAACCTGCCATATGAGTGTGGCCTCGTGTAATGTTTTTGTCGTTGTTTTGAGGGAATAAAAGTATATTCTTGTTTTTTTTGGATACTTTAGGAATGTCTTTAGTGGTAATCACTTACTGATATAGTTTCTACCATGTTAGACTTGACATATTTATGTATGTATTGACTCTGTTTGCAGGACAAACATGAAGGCAGCATTTAGCAAGATATTCGGCCGGAAGGAGACTATCCCCCCCGAATCTGAAAATATGGATATTTCTTCTCCTACCATTGTCACACACAATGTGCATGTTACTTATAATGCCAATACTCAGTCTTTTGAGGGCATTCCTGAAGCCTGGAAAAAAATGATCGGAGGTGCTATCACGTACGTTGAAGCCTGAAATTATACATTACAGTACAGCTAAGTCTTGATTAGTGAGAATGATTAATAATAATAATAATAAACACTAATAATAATAATAATTCTCCAAGGGGAAAGGAACAGAATTCTTCCTCCATAAGCCATGTTTGTCGCAAGAAGCGACTAAAATGCCGGGAGCAAGGGGCTAGTAACCTCTTCTCTTGTATACATTACTAAATTTGTAAAGAAAAACTTTCGTTTTCTTTTTGGGTCACCCCGCCTCGGTGGGATACGAGGCAGGGTGACCCAGTGTGTTGAATGAAGAAGAATAATAATACAGTAATAATCTCTAATAATAATAAATAAATTTTCTTTTTTGGGGATTTTCTTTCTTTTTGGGTCACCCCGCCTCGGTGGGAGACGGCCGACTTGTTAAAAAAAAAAATAATTAATAATAAGCTCTATTAATAAAAATAATAATATATTAATATTTTATTTCAGCACGATACAGAGTATATACAGAGATGTTTTAGTTGTACATGTAGAAAGTCATAGTTTTGCAGAGCGTTTTGGGCAGCTTAACTTAAGACAACAATGGCAATAACTAATTGCTTATATATAAGGACATTAAGGGTATATAAACAGTAAATTTAGGAATTACAGGAACAAACAAACATTATTTGAATTTGGGCTACAGTGAAACTTCAGTTTTTGAATTTAATTCGTTCCAGATGTCGATTTGATAACCAAAATCGATGCCACCCAAAGCAATTTTTCCATAAAGAATAATGTAAACAGAATTAATCTGTTCCAGACCCCAAGTGACAATATAATAATATATTAATATACTATATTATTATATTGAGTTTGGTAGGGTATGTAAAAGAAGAAAATTAAAAGTGAATATAGGGAAGAGTAAGGTTATGAGGATTACAAAAAAATTAGGTAACGAAAGATTGGATATCAGATTGGAGGGAGAGAGTATGGAGGAGGTGAATGTATTCTGATATTTAGGAATGGACATGTCCGCAGATGGGTCTATGAAAGATGAGGTGATTCATAGAATTGATGAGGCGTAAAAGGTGAGGAATCTGTGGAGACAAAGAACATTTTCCATGGATGCAAAGAGGGGAATGTATAAGAGTAAAGTTGTACCAACACTATTATATGGGTGCAAAGCATGGGTGGCGAATGTTGCAACAAGGAGAAGCCTGGAGGCAGTGGAGATGTCGTGTCTGAGGGCAATGCGTGGTGTGAATATAATGCAGAGAATTCGTAGGTTGGAAATTAAGAGGAGATGCCTGATTACCAAAACTATTATCGAGAGTGCTGAGGAGGGGTTGTTGAGGTGGTTCAGATATGTAGAGAGGATGGAGCAAAATAGAATGACTTCAAGAGTGTATAAATCTATAGCGGAGGGAAGGCGGGGTGGAGGTTGGCCTAGGGAAGGGAAGGAGGGGGTTAAGGAGGTTTCGTGTGTGAGGGGCTTGGACTTCCAGCAAGCATGTGTGAGCGTGTTAGATAGGAGTGAATAGAGACAAATGGTTTTTAGGACTTGATGTGCTGTTGAGTGTGAGCAAGGTAATATTTATGAAGGGATTCAGGGAAACTGGCAGGCCGGACTTGAGTCCTGGAGATGGGAAGTACAATACTGCACTCTGAAGGAGAGGCATTAATGTTGCAATTTTATAACTGTAGTGTAAGTGCACCTCTGGCAAGACAGTGATGGAGTGAACGATGACGGTTTATTCAACAAATAATGCAATCGACAATCGAGGTTCGACTGTATTTGAATTTTATGTAATTTTTTGCATGATCTGAAGATTTTTGGGGGGGGGGGGGAATAAAGCTAGCATTGATTAATTTCACTGAATCAAAATTCACACTGTCCAAACTTGCACTAATGGAGACCTAGCTGTAAAGTATTTATTTCCTTCGAAAGAAACCTCTTCCATTCACGTATTTTCTTGCTTCTTGGTAACTGTTCTTTTCCACATTATGGGTGGTCTTTCAAAACCTAAGCTTCACTTAGGCTTGGAAGAACTACCATCATCATTACTTTTGCTTTTGGGTCATTATTAACCCTTAAACTGTCCAAGCAGATATAAGTTGACATGCGTAGTGCTCCAAAAGTAGATCTACTTTTTTTTTTACATATTTTCAAATATAACAAAAAAAGTAGATTTTTTTTTATTTTTATTTATTATCACACTGGCCGATTCCCACCAAGGCAGGGTGGCCCGAAAAAGAAAAACTTTCACCATCATTCACTCCATCACTGTCTTGCCAGAAGGGTGCTTTACACTACAGTTTTTTAAACTGCAACATTAACACCCCTCCTTCAGAGTGCAGGCACTGTACTTTCCCATCTCCAGGACTCAAGTCCGGCCTGCCGGTTTCCCTGAATCCCTTCATAAATGTTACTTTGCTCACACTCCAACAGCACGTCAAGTATTAAAAACCATTTGTCTCCATTCACTCCTATCAAACACCTCATGCATGCCTGCTGGAAGTCCAAGCCCCTCGCACACAAAACCTCCTTTACCCCCTCCCTCCAACCTTTCCTAGGCCGACCCCTACCCCGCCTTCCTTCCACTACAGACTGATACACTCTTGAAGTCATTCTGTTTTGCTCCATTCTCTCTACATGTCCGAACCACCTCAACAACCCTTCCTCAGCCCTCTGGACAACAGTTTTGGTAATCCCGCACCTCCTCCTAACTTCCAAACTACGAATTCTCTGCATTATATTCACACCACACATTGCCCTCAGACATGACATCTCCACTGCCTCCAGCCTTCTCCTCGCTGCAACATTCATCACCCACGCTTCACACCCATATAAGAGTGTTGGTAAAACTATACTCTCATACATTCCCCTCTTTGCCTCCAGGACAAAGTTCTTTGTCTCCACAGACTCCTAAGTGCACCACTCACTCTTTTTCCCTCATCAATTCTATGATTCACCTCATCTTTCATAGACCCATCCGCTGACACGTCCACTCCCAAATATCTGAATACGTTCACCTCCTCCATACTCTCTCCTCCAATCTGATATTCAATCTTTCATCACCTAATCTTTTTGTTATCCTCATAACCTTACTCTTTCCTGTATTCACCTTTAATTTTCTTCTTTTGCACACCCTACCAAATTCATCCACCAATCTCTGCAACTTCTCTTCAGAATCTCCCAAGAGCACAGTGTCATCAGCAAAGAGCAGCTGTGACAACTCCCACTTTGTGTGTGATTCTTTATCTTTTAACTCCACGCCTCTTGCCAAGACCCTCGCATTTACTTCTCTTACAACCCCATCTATAAATATATTAAACAACCATGGTGACATCACACATCCTTGTCTAAGGCCTACTTTTACTGGGAAAAAATTTCCCTCTTTCCTACATACTCTAACTTGAGCCTCACTATCCTCGTAAAAACTCTTCACTGCTTTCAGTAACCTACCTCCTACACCATACACTTGCAACATCTGCCACATTGCCCCCTATCCACCCTGTCATACGCCTTTTCCAAATCCATAAATGCCACAAAGACCTCTTTAGCCTTATCTAAAATACTGTTCACTTATATGTTTCACTGTAAACACCTGGTCCACACACCCCCTACCTTTCCTAAAGCCTCCTTGTTCATCTGCTATCCTATTCTCTGTCTTACTCTTAATTCTTTCAATTATAACTCTACCATACACTTTACCAGGTACACTCAACAGACTTATCCCCCTATAATTTTTGCACTCTCTTTTATCCCCTTTGCCTTTATACAAAGGAACTATGCATGCTCTCTGCCAACCCTAGGTACCTTACCCTCTTCATACATTTATTAAATAATTGCACCAACCACTCCAAAACTATATCCCCACCTGCTTTTAACATTTCTATCTTTATCCCATCAATCCCGGCTGCCTTACCCCTTTCATTTTACCTACTGCCTCACGAACTTCCCCCACACTCACAACTGGCTCTTCCTCACTCCTACAAGATGTTATTCCTCCTTGCCCTATACACGAAATCACAGCTTCCCTATCTTCATCAACATTTAACAATTCCTCAAAATATTCCCTCCATCTTCCAATACCTCTAACTCTCCATTTAATAACTCTCCTCTCCTATTTTTAACTGACAAATCCATTTGTTCTCTAGGCTTTCTTAACTTGTTAATCTCACTCCAAAACTTTTTCTTATTTTTCAACAAAATTTGTTGATAACATCTCACCCACTCTCTCATTTGCTCTCTTTTTACATTGCTTCACCACTCTCTTAACCTCTCTCTTTTTCTCCATATACTCTTCCCTCCTTGCATCACTTCTACTTTGTAAAAACTTCTCATATGCTAACTTTTTCTCCCTTACTACTCTCTTTACATCATCATTCCACCAATCGCTCCTCTTCCCTCCTGCACCCACTTTCCTGTAACCACAAACTTCTGCTGAATACTCTAACACTACATTTTTAAACCTACCCCATACCTCTTCGACCCCATTGCCTATGCTCTCATTAGCCCATCTATCTCCAATAGCTGTTTATATCTTACCCTAACTGCCTCCTCTTTTAGTTTATAAACCTTCACCTCTCTCTTCCCTGATGCTTCTATTCTCCTTGTATCCCATCTACCTTTTACTCTCAGTGTAGCTACAACTAGAAAGTGATCTGATTATCTGTGGCCCCTCTATAAACATGTACATCCTGAAGTCTACTCAACAGTCTTTTATCTACCAATACATAATCCAAACAAAACTACAGTGGACCCCCGGTTAACGATTTTAATCCGTGCAAGAGGGCTCATCGTTATGCGAAATAATCGTTATGCGAATTAATTTCCCCCATAAGAAATAATGGAAATAAAATTAATCACGTGCAAGACGCCCAAAAGTATGAAAAAAAATTTTTTTTACCACATGAAATGTTAATTTTAATACACACAAACTGAAAAAGGCATGCACAATTACATGACACTTACTTTATTGAAGATCTGGTGATGATTGATGGGATGGGAGGGGAGGGAGAGCATTATCTTTCTTACTGTTTAGAAGGGGAATCCCCTTCCATTAGGACTTGAGGTAGCAAGTCCTTTTCTGGGGTTACTTCCCTTCTTCTTTTAATGCCACTAGGACCACTTCAGAGTCACTGGACCTCTGTCGCACAACAAATCTGTCCATAGAGCTCTGTACCTCCGTTTCTTCAAGACTTTCCTAAAATGGGCCATAACATTGTCATGAAATAGTCACAAGCACGCTTGCAACAGCTGTGTCAGGGTGATTTTCATCTATAAAGGTTTGCAGTTCAAACCACTCTGCACACATTTCCTTAATCTTTGAAGTAGGCACAATGGATTCCACAACTGGCATAGGCTTCTCAGGGTTAGCCCCAAACCCTTCAAAATCTTTCTTAATTTCCATACTAATTCTCACCCTTTTTACCACAGGGTTGGCACTAGAAGCTTTCTTGGGGCCCATGGTCACTTATTTTCCAGAAACACCACCGAAAACACTGTAATAATACGAAATATTCCGAGTGTATGCTTGGATGTTACCGCGGAGGCTGGCTGGTAAACAATGGGACGGCCGGCACATGTGAGGGCACATTGGACGCGTCTCGGACGAAAATCGGTATGCGGGTTTTTAATCGGTATGCGGGCAAAAATTTTGCGATAAAAGTAATCGTTATGCGGAAAAATCGCTATGCGATGCCATCGTTATGCGGGGGTCCACTGTACTGTCATTTCGCCCTACATCATATCTTGTATACTTATTTATCCTCTTTTTCTTAAAATATGTATTACCTATAACTAAACCCCTTTCTATACAAAGTTCAATCAAAGGGCTCCCATTATCATTTACACCTGGCACCCCAAACTTACCTACCACACCCTCTCTAAAAGTTTCTCCTACTTTAGCATTCAGGTCCCCTACCACAATTACTCTCTCACTTGGTTCAAAGGCTCCTATACATTCACTTAACATCTCCCAAAATCTCTCTCTCTCCTCTGCATTCCTCTCTTCTCCAGGTGCATACACACTTATTATGACCCACTTCTCGCATCCAACCTTCACTTTAATCCACATAATTCTTGAATTTACACATTCATATTCTCTTTTCTCCTTCCATAACTGATCATTTAACATTACTGCTACCCCTTCCTTTGCTCTAACTCTCTCAGATACTCCAGATTTAATCCCATTTATTTACCCCCACTGAAACTCTCCTACCCCCTTCAGCTTTGTTTCGCTTAGAGCCAGGACATCCAACTTCTTTTCATTCATAACATCAGCAATCATCTGTTTCTTGTCATCCGCACTACATCCACGCAGATTTAAGCATCCCAGTTTTATAAAGTTTTTCTTCTTCTCTTTTTTAGTAAATGTATACAGGAGAAGGGGTTACTAGCCCATTGCTCCCGGCATTTTAGTCGCCTCATACGACACGCATGGCTTACGGAGGAAAGATTCTTTTCCACTTCCCCATGGACAATAGAAGAAATAAAAAAAGAACAAGAGCTATTTAGAAAAAGGAGAAAAACCTAGATGTATGTATATATATATATGCATGTGCGTGTCTGTGAAGTGTGACCAAAGTGTAAGTAGGAGTAGCAAGATATCCCTGTTATCTTAGCGTGTTTATGAGACAGAAAAAAAAAACCAGCAATCCTACCATCATGCAAAACAGTTACAGGTTTTTGTTTCACAGTCATCTGGCAGGACGGTAGTACTTCCCTGGGTGGTTGCTGTCTACCAACCTACTACCTAAGAAAAAAAAAAGTAGATCAAAGTAAAAAAAAAAAAAAAAAAAAAAAAAAAAGATCTACTTTTTTTACATACTTTCAAATGTTGAAAAAAACGTATATACAGTGGACCCCCGCATAATGGACTTCAATATAATGGACCTTAATACAGTGTACCACAATATACAGTGGACCCCCGCATAACGATTACCTCCAAATGCGACCAATTATGTAAGTGTATTTATGTAAGTGCGTTTGTACGTGTATGTTTGGGGGTCTGAAATGGACTAATCTACTTCACAATATTTCTTATGGGAACAAATTCGGTCAGTACTGGCACCTGAACATACTTCTGGAGTGAAATAATATCGTTAACCGGGGGTCCACTGTATACGTTTGGACCGTTTACAGGTTAAATAAAATTAAGGGTTATTTTCAGGCCAGGGTAAACCATGTATAACTGAAAGCAGGTCCATGGATACAGGGGTTCGGCTGTATATATAAATGCTTGTCTTCGAACACAGTTTTTCTTCTTATATTCTTCGGCAGTTTTTGTTTTAAAATGCATGAACCTCGTGGGTTTCGCACTTAGTTTTGATTATAAAAATTTATTTGTTTTAAAATGGAACATTTAGGCAATTTTTAGACCTGATTGAATTTGAGGTAATAATTTCCTCCATATTCTTTCAGTGAAGATGAATTGGAGAGCAACCCAGCAGCTGCCATAGCTGCAGTAAAGTTCTATAAGTATTCCATACGACGGAAGGAGACGGATGTCAAGTTGATCCCGACTGAGGAAGTAATCCAGGAAGAGTCTGAAGCTATTGAACATATTTTTGAAACTGGTATGTGTTATTAAGATGAAAAAGGCACAATACTGTGGCTGGAACAATACACAAATATTCCACACATAGTAGAAAGAAATGTATGACAACATTTCAGCCAAATTTGGACCATTAACTAGTCGTTAGTTTCATAAGGCTCTTTCTCCTATGTGCTGGTTATTTGTGTATTGTATCTATTATTGTAATGCTGGGTGCAAGGAGCTAGTAACCACTTCTCTTGTGTATGTTACCTGGAGTTTACCTGGAGAGAGTTCCGGGGGTCAACGCCCCCATGGCCCGGTCTGTGACCAGGCCTCATGGTGGATCACAGCCTGATCAACCAGGCTGTTACTGCTGGCTGCATGCAATCCAACGTACGAGCCACAGCCCGGCTGGTCAGGTACTGACTTTAGGTGCTTGTCCAGTGCCAGCTTAAAGACTGCCAGGGGTCTATTGGTAATCCCCCTTATGTATGCTGGGAGGCAGTTGAACAGTCTTGGGGCCCCTGACACTTATTGTGTTGTCTCTTAACGTGCTAGTGGCACCTCTGCTTTTCATTGGGGGGATGTTGCATCATCTGGCGAGTCTTTTGCTTTCATAGTGAGTGATTTTCGTGTGCAAGTTTGGTACTAGTCCCTCTAGGATATTTCAGGTGTATATAATCATGTGTCTCTCCCTGCTGCGTTCCAGGGAGTACAGGTTCAGGACTTCAAGCGCTCCCAGTAATTGAGGTGTTTTATCTCCGTTATGCGCGCAGTGAAGGTTCTCTACATTTTCTAGGTCAGCAATTTCACCTGCCTTGAAAGGTGCTGTTAGTGTGCAGCAATATTCCAGCCTAGATAGAACAAACGACCTGAAGAGTGTCATCATGGGCTTGGCATCCCTAGTTTTGAAGGTTCTCATTATCCATCCTGTCATTTTTCTAGCAGATGCAATTGATACAATGTTATGGTCCTTGAAGGTGAGATCCTCCGACATGATCACTCCCAGGTCTTTGACGTTGGTGTTTCGCTCTATTTTGTGGCCAGAATTTGTTTTGTACTCTGTTGAAGATTTAATTTCCTCATGTTTACCATATCTGAGCAATTGAAATTTCTCATTGTTGAACTTCATATTGTTTTCTGCAGCCCACTGAAAGATTTGATTGATGTCTGCCTGGAGCCTTGCAGTGTCTGCAATGGAAGACACTGTCATGCAGATTCGGGTGTCATCTGCAAAGGAAGACACGGTGCTGTGACTGACATCCTTGTCTGTGCCAGAGATGTGGAAGATGGCTAATGTGGTTCCTATATTCAAATCAGGGGATAAGTCCACTCCTTCAAATTACCGTCCAATAAGCCTGACATCTATAGTGGGCAAGTTATTAGAATCAATTATAGCTGACATTATCAGAAGTCACCTTGAAGAGCATAACTTGATAAATGAATCTCAGCATGGATTCACGAGAGGTCGTTCCTGCCTGACAAACTTACTGTCGTTCTTCAATAGAACATTTGAGGCAGTTGACAGTGATAAGGAATATGATATTGTTTATTTGGATTTTAGTAAAGCCTTCGACAGAGTACCTCACAAGAGACTCTTAAGAAAAGTGGCAGCTCACGGTATAGGAGGTAAAGTTCTAGCATGGATTGAGGCATGGCTTACCAATAGAAAGCAGAGAGTTACCATTAATGGAGTGAAATCTGAATGGGGATTAGTCACTAGTGGCGTTCCACAAGGATCAGTTTTAGGCCCTCTCTTGTTCATAATTTACATTAATGACCTTGATGAAGGGATTACTAGTGACATGAGTAAGTTTGCTGATGATACAAAGATAGGCCGTATAATTCACTCTGAGGAGGATATCAATGAACTCCAGGACGATTTGAACAAATTAATGTCTTGGTCTGAGAAATGGCAGATGAAGTTTAATGTGGATAAGTGTAAGGTACTTGCCCTTGGTAATGAAAATAACCCTCGAAGCTATAATCTAGGTGAAGTAGAGCTTGGTCATACAGAATGTGAAAAAGACTTGGGAGTCATGGTAAGCAGAAATCTAAAGCCAAGACAGCAGTGCCTCAGTGTGCGCAACAAGGCCAACAGATTACTTGGATTTATCTCAAGAAGTATAAGTAACAGAAGTCCAAAAGTTATTTTACAGCTCTATACATCACTAGTGAGGCCTCATTTGGATTATGCTGCTCAGTTTTGGTCCCCTTACTACAGGATGGACATAGACTCATTAGAGAACATACAGAGAAGAATGACTAAAATGATTTACTGTGTAAGGAACCTCCCGTATGAAGATAGACTTAAAGCCTTAAATCTCCACTCTCTGGAGAGGCGTAGAATGAGGGGAGATATCATTGAAGTGTATAAGTGGATGACGGGCATAAACAAGGGAGACATTAATAAAGTACTGAGGGTGTCGAACCAGGTAAGAACCAAGAATAATGGATTTAAGTTGGATAAATTTAGATTTAGAAAGGACATAGGTAAGTATTGGTTTTCTAACAGAGTTGTAGATGCGTGGAACAGTCTTCCCAGTTGGGTGATAGAGGCTAGGACCTTGGGTAGCTTTAAGAAGAGACTGGACAAATATATGAGTGGGAGGGGCTGGGTTTGATTGGTGTCAAGGGGTACGGGAGATATTTCTTGAGTAGCTGTAGGTAGATGTCGTTTTGATAAGGACCTGCCTCGTATGGGCCAGTAGGCCTTCTGCAGTGTTCCTACATTCTTATGTTCTTATGAGGAACAAGATGGGAGCGAGTACTGTGCCTTGTGGAACAGGGCTTTTCACCGTAGCTGCCTCAGACTTTACTCTGTTGACTACTACTCTCTGTGTTCTGTTAGTGAGGAAATTATAGATCCATCGACCGACTTTTCCTGTTATTCCTTTAGTACGCATTTTGTGCGCTATTACGCCATGGTCACACTTGTCGAAGGCTTTTGCAAAGTCTGTATATATTACATCTGCATTCTTTTTGTCTTCTAGTGCATCTAGGACCTTGTCGTAGTGATCCAATAGTTGAGACAGACAGGAGCGACCTGTTCTAAACCCATGTTGCCCTGGGTTGTGTAATTGATGGGTTTCTAGATGGGTGGTGATCTTGCTTCTTAGGACCCTTTCAAAGGTTTTTATGATATGGGATGTTAGTGCTATTGGTCTGTAGTTCTTTGCTGTTGCTTTACTGCCCCCTTTGTGGAGTGGGGCTATGTCTGTTGTTTTTAGTAACTGTGGGACGACCCCCGTGTCCATGCTCCCTCTCCATAGGATGGAAAAGGCTCGTGATAGGGGCTTCTTGCAGTTCTTGATGAACATGGAGTTCCATGAGTCTGGCCCTGGGGCAGAGTGCATGGGTATGTCATTTATCGCCTGTTCGAAGTAATTTGGCATCAGGATAACATCAGATAGGCTTGTGTTTACCAAATTCTGTGGCTCATAAAAAATTCATTTAGATCTTCGACTTTCAGTCTGGTTAGCAGCTTGCTAAAAATTGAGTCATATTGGGACTTGAGTAGCTCACTCATTTCCTTGCTGTCATCTGTGTAGGACCCATCTTGTTTAAGTAAGGGCCCGATACTGGATGTTGTTCTCAACTTTGATTTGGCATAAGAAAAGAAATACTTTGGGTTTCTTTCGATTTCATTTATGGCTTTTAGTTCTTCCCGCGATTCCTGACTCCTATAAGATTCCTTTAGCTTGAGTTCGATGCTTGCTATTTCACTGACCAGTGTCTCCCTACGCATTTCAGATATATTGGCCTCTTAGCCGCTCTGGTATTCTTTTCCGTCGCCTGTAAAGGGAGCGCCTGTCTCTTTCTATTTTACAACTATTACTCCTTTTTCTTAAAGGAATAAGTCTTGTGCATACATCGAGTGCCACCAAGTTAATCTGTTCTAGGCATAAGTTGGGGTCTGTGTTGCTTAGTGTATCTTCCCAGCTTATATCGGTTAGGACTTGGTTTACTTGGTTCCACTTTATGTTCTTGTTATTGAAGTTGAATTTGGTGAAGGCTCCTTTGTGACTGATCTCATTTTGTCGGTCTGGGGCTCCGCGCATACATGTCTGAACCTCAATTATGTTGTGATCTGAGTATATTGTTTTTGATATGGTGACATTTTGTTTCATATCATTGTTAGTGAAGATGAGGTCTAGTGTATTCTCCAGTCTAGTAGGCTCTATTATTTGCTGGTTTAAGTTGAATTTTGTGCAGAGATTTAAAAGCTTGTGTGAGTGTGAGTTCTCATCTGAGCTTCCTTCTGGTTTTATTACTGCAACAACATTATTTGCTACATTCCTCCATTTTAGGTGCCTTAAGTTGAAATCCCCCAGGAGCAAGATGTTGGGGGCAGGAGCTGCCAGATTTTCCAGACAGTGGTTAATTTTCAACAGTTGTTCCTGGAATTGTTGGGATGTTGCATCCGGAGGCTTGTAGACTACCACAATGACTAGGTTTTGGTTCTTGATCTTTACTGCTAAAACTTCCACTACATCATTTGAAGCATTAAGCAGTTCTGTGCAAATAAGTGACTCTGCAATGTACAGGCCAACAACCCCCCCCCTTTTGCCTGTTCACTCTGTTGCATCTGTATAGGTTGTAACCTGGGATCCATATTTCGTTGTCCAAGTGATCCTTTATGTGGGTCTCAGTGAAAGCCGCGAACATTGCATTTGCCTCTGCAAGCAGTCCATGGATGAAAGGTATTTTGTTGTTTGTTGCTGGCTTTAGACCCTGTATATTTGCAAAGAAGAATGTCATTGGATTGGTGATACTGGGCGGGACTTTTCTTTCCGGCACTAATATCTGTATCTGTTAGTTTGGAGTAGAAGCCATTGACTGTGGTTCCACTCCAGAAATGACTGGATTTGGTGTACGATTTCTGCCATTTCCTGCCAGTTTTTTGTCCTTCCGGGCACTGAAAAACCTCTCCCTCTTGAGTGGCTGTGGCTACCCAGGTTTTCCCATGACCTGGATGTTTTGTATCTTTTTGTCCCCTTTAGATGGTGTGCCTGGCAATTTAAGTTATATAAAATTAAAATTTCTTTCTTGAGTCACTCTACCTCCGTGGGAGACGGCTGGTGTGTTGAAAAAAAATATTATTGTATGTATGTATTTTTCCTTTGTTTAATTTAGTGACAATTATTAGGTCTTATAGTTCATAATTGGCCATATTATAGGTAGGCCCAAGGCTAGATTAAGGCATGGGCTTTAGGAGCTGAATCTCAGGGACCTCTGCCAGCTGGAGGACCTCGCCAGCTGGAGGACCTCCGCCAGCTGGAGGACCTCCGCCAGCTGAAGGACCTCCGCCAGCTGGAGGACCTCCGCCAGCTGGAGGACCTCCGCCAGCTGGAGGACCTCCGCCAGCTGGAGGACCTCCACCAGCTGGAGGACCTCCGCCAGCTGGAGGACCTCCACCAGCTGGAGGACCTCGCCAGCTGGAGGACCTCCGCCAGCTGGAGGGACCTCCGCCAGCTGGAGGACATCCGCATTTGCATGGAGGACCTCGCCAAGCTGTAGTGAATCCGCCATTGTGGTACCTTCGCCAGCTGAGATCCAAGATATTTTGGAGTAATTTTTTTTGAAAATATAGTTAAGCAAAGCTAAATTTTTTAATTGTAATTGGGTAACCTTGCAAAAATAAATTTAATATTTATCTAACTTTTTACCTTTGAAAATATCTATTAGGGGTCTAGAATGCCATGTGCCCAAGGGCCTACATATTTATCTGAGCTTTGTTGTTATGCATTGAATCATAAACAGTATTTTACTCATAGCCTCTCTGTACTAAAAATATCTTTTGGCTGTGCCACTGGTTCGGTCTTATATGATTACAATAAATCTCCATCACTCTCGCCACAAAGCCTTGTACATTTATTCTGACCTCTATAGTTGTTTGGTATTTATTACATGTATTAGGTATAGTAAGGTTCATTCGAGGAAACAGGACGAGTGCTCCATGACGCGGGTCTTAATATGGACCCCATGAGCTTTAGGTATCTACTGAGGCCTTCCGCTGGTTACATATTTTACATACCACAAATAGTGTACCCGGTAATCTTTTTTGTATTCATAAAGATGCTTACAATTCTTGTGCAAGGAAATGAAGAGATGTCCTTCAACTGCCATTGTGAAATATAAACAGGTAGCCAAAATACCTTATCTACATTGTTCCGCAGAGGTTTCCGTCTATATACAGTACTTAGTAAAATAATTTGTTATATTTTATGATTTTTTTTCAGTTAAAGAATCCAGTGAAATAATTGAGAACAATACATCGGCAGATAAGGTAAGATTTAATTTTCTTTTTATCGTGGCTGTGAAAACATGAGTATATAATGATTGTAAATAAACAAGTTAATACATTATAATGAAATAAAATGGGCATAACTAAATGAATAAATATAATGGAAGGTACATAAGAATTAAAAGATAAATTAATAAGTTTGTTTTGTCCAACTTTCCAGAATTAAGTTAGCATCTTAGGCAAATGTTTTTATGATGTTGCTTGAAACCTTAATTAACTGCAGTGAAAGTAATGTTCTATTATTAATTTTCCATAAAAATAATAGAAATATTTTTTTTATTTCCAGGTTCCAGAAGTGAAGTTGGAAAAAAATGGAGGAGGAGGAATTCTGCAAACCATGTCTCCACTGTCCCCCAATAAAGCATCATTGACAGAGCGAACGTTAATGACATTGAAACCGTTCAGTTATTGTCCCTAGGAGAAATTCAGTTCTCAATTTGGGTAACTACCCTTCGATTGCCTGGGGTAAAATCATACAGGTTCTCCTTCACTTAATGGATTACGTTCAAGCACTGAAGTTGAAGTCGAATATGACATCCTAAAGAGTAATAACTACCTCTGTCACTAAATATGTAAATGAATACATAACTGAATAAGTACTAGTATGAAATAAAGTGATCAGGTATGATTTTTCCATAAGTTTCATTCCCGGTAATTACTTAAATTTCATCTCTAAAGTAACTGCTCTTGAAGCATCACAAATCGGAAGACTGTAATACTTTGCCAAGCAACAAATTCCTAATCCAAACAAGATGGGAAGTAATTGCCGGAGCTTTCGGCATTTACACACAAGGTCATGGAGTTAGTTTTTTTAAAGCACGGTTTAACCTTTATTACTGATTACGACCATGCCTAATGTTACGTCGATATCCTTATACCAGCGTTTCGACATAGTTACTAGGTTTTTGTCATATGCGGAAGTTTTGGGACAAAACGTCATGCTGTACAGCACCTGTGGGGGGGATTGGAAGGTACTTGTTAATTCAGGAATGGAGCAAATCCAATCTGCAAGGAACCCCACACATCAAGGACCTTTCCTTAAGGGTCCCCCCTTCACCATGTTTATATTAACCAGTCACCAATCCATTAGAACCAGTAACTTCGAAAGATGTCAATAGTTTGGTTCACTTACATTCCAGATACCGACTCAGTTGCAGAAATTATCAATCTAACAGTACTTTTTTTTAAATGTTCAGAGATGGATTGATCCCTTATTTGTGTTCCCATACCCTCCATTATTGGTCAACACCATTTTGTCCCATACCCCCATTATTGTTCCCAATCCAACCATTATTTTGATCCATACCCGAATATTGTTCCAATACCAATAAATATATTTAATTTAACCCATACCCCTATTATTTTTATACCATATTTGCAATATGTAACCTCAGTTTGCAACTCTCTGGTAATTAGAAAGTATTTAAATAATTTTTTTGTTACTCTAATGGATTGTCTGTTCAATGCTGTGATAAAGCGAGCTTATGGGTCCACCATGACAGTATTATAAATTTTGAAGTAATTAAAAGAACAAAAAGACACAGGTAATGGCTGAAAATTCAAAAGCACCTAGGAGAGGAAAGTTTAGACGCACTTTGTCCGATTTAGACCACTGGCTCGTGCACTGTGACTGGCTTGACATCTAAACGGTTGTTCTTAACCTTTTTCTGTTACAGACCCAGTGCCAGTATGTCAATATATCTTTACCCTTTTCCCATTATTTTACATGTATATGTAGGGGGAAAGCCCAAACCCTAGATTATACGCACCCTTTTGGGGGGGGGGGATGTGGAAGGTATTTAGGCTTTAATAGGGAACTGGAGCAAGATCCAAATTTCCCTGATCAAGACCCCCCCACCAGCAAAAGGAAACCTTCCTTAAGGGTGCCCCCTTCACCACTGTAAAAATTTTCACCTCACCAGTCCTATTAACCCGTTTTACTTCGAAAAAAGTCAATCAGTGGCCCCCCCATAACGTACCTCCCAAATCGACCAATTAGAAGTTATTTATGTAAGGCCTTTGTAGGTTGTTTGGGGGGGTAAATGGACTAATCTACTTCACAATATTCCTTATGGGAACAAATTCGGTCAGTACTGGCACCTGAACATACTTCTGGAGTGAAAAAATATCGTTAACCGGGGGGGCCACTGTAGTTTGGGTTTTATTTACATTGGGTAATGGAACCCCGGATGAAGTTTTTCTAATCTAACAGTAACTTTTCTTTTAATTTTTAGAGATGGGTTGCATACCCTCATTATTCTGTTCCCATACCCTCCATTATTGTTCCCATACCACCATTATTTTGATCCCATACCCCCCATTATTGTTCCCATACCACCATTATTTTGATGCCATACCCCCAATTATTGTTCCAATACCACCATTATTTTGTTCCCATACCCCTATTATTTTGTTCCCATACCCCATTATTTTGTTCCCATACCCCTATTATATAAGGGTTCCATACCATTATTTGGACTTTTCATACCCAGTTAGTCCCTGTTCAAAAGGATTAAGATTATTTTTTGTTACTCATTCATTGGATTGTAAATTTTCAAGTAATTAAAGAACAACAAATCACAGTACCGTGGCTGGAACAATTCACAAATAAACTGCACCTAGGAGAGGAAAGTTTAGACGACATTTTGGTCCATTGTAGACCACTGTCACGGTGCAGCTGTGACTTGGGACTTGACATCTAAACTGTCGTATCTGCGTACCTCTGACAAGACAGCAGCGGTGTGAATCAGGGTGAAAGTGTTTCTTTTTTGGGTTACCCTGCCTTGGTGGGACGTGGCCGGTGTGCTAAAAAACATCAAATAATGTCTTTTTAAAGTTCTCAGTGGTTGTATCATTTTATATTTCCTCTTGTAACACATTCCACTGTTTTTCGATTCTGTGAAGAAGAAATTTCTAATATCCCTTTAGAACCTCTTCTTCCTTCATGTCTTAGTGTGTGTGGTTAGAAAATAGACCAAGTCGGTCCAAAATGTCGTCATAAGTTTCTTTCTCCTGTGTGCAGGTTATTTGTGTACTCTTCTTCCATAGTTTATATTTATAGTATCTTGTTGTCCCTATAGATGGTGCTAGGAAATCTATGTAATTTCTTTACTTAGTTAAAATCTTCCATTTTGGGTAATTATTTTCTGATTATAATTATATTCATTGCCGGGAGCAGGAGACTAGTTCTCCTGTATAAATTACGAAATATAAAAAGAAGGAAAACCCTATAACAGTGTTTCTTCTTTTTCGGGTCGCTCTGCCTCAGTGGGAGACGGCTGGCATGTTACAAAAAAAAAAGATTAGAATTTGAAAAGTATTCATTTCTGTTACTTCTTCTAACAGGTACGAATGAAGCATTGCGGTAAATTGACTGACGAACAGATAATGGGCCATTTTAAGCAGATTTGTTCCCCAAAGAACCCAGAAACAGTGTACGAGAGAGATAAGGAGCTCGGTGCAGGGTATGTAAGGCTACTTCATGTTCTGTACTTATACATATACATATACTTATACAGTGGAACCTCAAAAATCGAACTGCTCCCAACACAACCAATTATGTAAGTGTATTTTTGTAAGTGCTTTTATAAGTGTATTTTTAAGGGTCTGAAATGGACTAATCTAATTTACATTATTCCTGATGGGAATAAATTCATTCGGTAAAGGCACTCCAGACTTCTGGACCGAAGAAAGTTTGATATTTGAGGTTCCACTGTACATATACATATACAGTTAAAATAAACAGTTGAGCAGTTATAGTCATGGTCTGGAGGCCCTGCATATATGGTGCCTCTTTTTGGTGTTCCACTTTTTTGTTGGCTTTCAATTGAGCCATTGTTTTATCTGTCAATGACTATCACCAGCGGATGAAATATAATAAACAATGGCTCAGTTTGAAGCCAACGAAAACACAGAATGTCGAAAAGAGGTGCTGTACTTGTGGGGTCGTCCTGTTCAGAAAACTATACAGTGAACATATTATCCAATGGACTAATAGAAAGGAATGTAAGTCGGTACATTTTTAAATACTAAACTACATATTCCGTATGGAAAAATAGACTGTACAGAAACAACTTTGGAGTAAAAATTTTCTTATCCCTTACATGTAATATATACACAGACAATAATAACAGTACATTACAATCGGAAAATTGAAAAAAAGAATCGTTTTTAAAAATAAAATTACCAAATACAGATTTTTTTCGATTAGATTATGGTATTTACAAAAAGCAAATTATATTGAAGCATATATGTAAACAACCTACCATCCGACTTACGACCGAGTTCAGTTCCGAGAAACCGGTCGTAAGTCGAAATGGTCGTAAGTCGAACTTTACTACTGAATATCAACAAAACATTTTTGTAATGACTTTATTTTATTGTTTTATTTTGGTATTTCATGTTTTACTTTACTTTTTATGTTGTTAGTACTGTATTTTATACTGTAAAGTTTAGGATAAACACTGTGTACAACACAAATACTTGTTTATTTCCCAGAAATTTGGCATAAAAAACACGGTCGTAAGTCGAGTGGTCGTAAGTCGAGCAGGTCATAAGTCGGATGGTAGGTGTATTTGTATGGTATGAGTTGTGTATGAGGTGTGAGTTATAACAATACTGGTGCATTTTTCCTCCCTAGAGCATCTGGCACAGTGTTTATAGCGCAGGAGAGGGCCAGTGGTCGCAAGGTGGCCGTCAAGGACATTGATCTGGACAAGCAGCCAAAGAAAGAACTCATCCTCAATGAAATTCGAGTGATGAAAGAAATTCGGCATGAAAATCTGGTCAATTTCCTCGATGTATTCCTCTTAAACAATCACCTATGGGTAAGTTAATATATATATATTTTTGAACCCACCAGCCATCTCCCACCTGGGCAGGTGACTCAAAAAAAAGCAACAGTAGTTAATATTGTGCGCTATTTGTACGTATAATAATAATAATAATAATAATAATAATAATAATAATAATAATAATAATAATAATGTAAACATTGCCTAAAATGCTCTGCATAACCATGGGCTTTCTGCCTTCACAACTAAATGTCCTCCATACACAAATATCCCCCACGTGGAAGAGAGGAGTTTACGATGACGTTTCGGTCCAGACCTAGACCATTTACAAAGTCACACTAACGAAAAGGAGAGCAAGATGGGTATATATAGGCAGGAGGTGGTAGTAGTAATAGTAGTAGTGCTCTTGTGTGTTCTTGCTCTTACCCTCTGTGGGCACCTAGCTCCCTTGCAGTGCTCCTCTTTCTTAGTACAGTGGACCCCCGGTTTACAATATTATTTCATTCCAGAAGTATGTTCAGGTGCCATTACTGAACGAATTTGTTCCCATAAGGAATATTGTGAATTAGATTAGTCCATTTCAGACCCCCAAACATACACATACAAACGCACTTACATAAATACACTTACATAATTGGTCGCATTGGGAGCTGATCGTAAACCGGGGGTCCACTGTATTATTATTATTATTATTAATTATTTTTTTTTTCAACAAGTCGGACTTATTCACGATATCCCACATGTACAAAACTCTCTAAACTACCCACGTTCACAATTACAATCAAGGTACTCCAACCAAGTAAACTTTTACGAACACTTTATTGTGTTACTCTAGGCTAAATTACATAAGGTATTTTTTATGTGCCCATAATATCTTGTACCGTCAAGGTTATTGTAAAGAAATTTGTACATTATGTGTTGAAAGCCTAAACAAAAACTGGAAAAAAGTGTGATACATAAACACCATTTATACTATTGTTTATGTATGTAAGCAACTTGTTTGTAACTTGATATACCAGGAATGTATGTTGTTTGTAGGTTAGGGAGCTCTCATGAAAACAGAAGCATCAGTACTTGCATAACAGTGTTGCTTGATTTACTGCTATTGTTCATCCATCTCTGTGTAATACAGTGGACCCCCGGTTTACGATATTTTTTCACTCCATAAGTATGTTCAGGTGCCAGTACTGACCGAATTTGTTCCCATAAGGAATATTGTGAAGTAGATTAGTCCATTTCAGACCCCCAAACATACACTTACAAACGCACTTACATAAATACACTTACATAATTGGTCGCATTGGGAGTTGATCGTGAACAGGGGGTCCACTGTACTTTTGTGAAAGCAAAGAAGCTTGTTGTAGAACGAACAATTATTGGACAGCGTTTTTCTGTTTTGAGAGTTTTTTTAAGTCATGTGTTGCTTCATGTAGAGTTGTGTATAGTCGAATCTGATGAATTAACCCTTAAACGGTCCAAACAAATCGACGTTCAAATTCGTAGCTACAAAAGTAGATCTACTTTTTTTTACACATTTTCAAATGTAAAACAAAAAAAAAAGATCTACATTTTTTTACATACTTTCAGATGTTGAAAAAACGTATATATACGTTTGGACCATTTACGGGTTAAAATATACATGAGTTTCGGGGTTTGATTGTACAGCACAACATGTTTATTTAGCAAATTAACATTCACCTCTCTTATATACCTCCTTTAAATGGTGCAGTTTTTTGTATGTGTGACTGAAAAAATGCATGGAAAAATGCAGGGGAGGGGGGGATGATTCACTTGCCACTTATAAACTGTTTTTGTCATTTTCTTATGCTAACACAAATAATTTATTGGAAAATTATTGATTTATTGTACTTGTAGGTGGTGATGGAGTTGCTTGACGGAGGACCACTGACAGACGTAGTGACGGAAACTGTAATGAAGGAGTCACAAATCGCTGCCGTGTGTCACCATACTCTGCGAGGCATCAGTTACCTTCATCTAAATGTATGTCAGCGAGCATAAGCTTTGTCCTCTAGATTTTTATCATGTGATTCCATATTAAAATCAGAGTAAAGTTTTTTGTAGCTGTTTTCCCATGTGTTGGGGGACCTCAACACATTATTCACTCAGTTGCTGTCTTGCCAGAGGTGTGCTGACAGTTCAGATGATCCTTTGAACCACAACAGTCCTGCAGGCACTGGACTTCCACCTCCAGGACTGTAACATCCTCACTCATCCTTAAGAGTGCAGGCACTGGACTTCCACCTCCAGGACTGTAACATCCTCACTCATCCTTAAGAGTGCAGGCACTGGACTTCCACCTCCAGGACTGTAACATCTTCACTCATCCTTCAGAGTGCAGGCACTGGACTTCCACTCCAGACTGTAACATCCTCACTCATCCTTCAGAGTGCAGGCACTGGACTTCCACCTCCAGAACTGTAACATCCTCACTCATCCTTCAGAGTGCAGGCACTGGACTTCCACCTCCAGGACTGTAACATCTTCACTCATCCTTCAGAGTGCAGGCACTGGACTTCCACCTCCAGGACTGTAACATCCTCACTCATCCTTCAGAGTGCAGGCACTGGACTTCCACCTCCAGAACTGTAACATCCTCACTCATCCTTCAGAGTGCAGGCACTGGACTTCCACCTCCAGGACTGTAACATCCTCACTCATCCTTCAGAGTGCAGGCACTGGACTTCCACCTCCAGAACTGTAACATCCTCACTCATCCTTCAGAGTGCAGGCACTGGACTTCCACCTCCAGAACTGTAACATCCTCATCATCCTTCAGAGTGCAGGCACTGGACTTCCACCTCCAGGACTGTAACATCCTCACTCATCCTTCAGAGTGCAGGCACTGGACTTCCACCTCCAGAACTGTAACATCCTCACTCATCCTTCAGAGTGCAGGCACTGGACTTCCACCTCCAGAACTGTAACATCCTCACTCATCCTTTAGAGTGCAGGCACTGGACTTCCACCTCCAGGACTGTAACATCCTCACTCATCCTTCAGAGTGCAGGCACTGGACTTCCACCTCCAGAACTGTAACATCCTCACTCATCCTTCAGAGTGCAGGCACTGGACTTCCACCTCCAGGACTGTAACATCCTCACTCATCCTTCAGAGTGCAGGCACTGGACTTCCACCTCCAGAACTGTAACATCCTCACTCATCCTTCAGAGTGCAGGCACTGGACTTCCACCTCCAGGACTGTAACATCCTCACTCATCCTTCAGAGTGCAGGCACTGGACTTCCACCTCCAGAACTGTAACATCCTCACTCATCCTTCAGAGTGCAGGCACTGGACTTCCACCTCCAGAACTGTAACATCCTCACTCATCCTTCAGAGTGCAGGCACTGGACTTCCACCTCCAGGACTGTAAACATCCTCACTCATCCTTCAGAGTTGCAGGCACTGGACTTCCACCTCCAGAACTGTAACATTCTCACTCATCCTTCAGAGTGCAGGCACTGGACTTCCACCTCCAGGACTGTAACATCCTCAATCATCCTTCAGAGTGCAGGCACTGGACTTCCACCTCCAGAACTGTAACATTCTCACTCATCCTTCAGAGTGCAGGCACTGGACTTCCACCTCCAGGACTGTAACATCCTCAATCATCCTTCAGAGTGCAGGCACTGGACTTCCACCTCCAGAACTGTAACATCCTCACTCATCCTTCAGAGTGCAGGCACTGGACTTCCACCTCCAAGACTCAAGTCTGGCTAACCAGACTAATCATTTAACCAAGTGAAATTGAATGCAGGATTATACAGAGTTTATACAGGATTTAGAAATAATTTGTGAATTGCAGCTGCCTTCTCCTTGGATCAACCCTGATTACTGTGCCTCTCATTTACAGGTTTAGTGCTTCCTCCTCAACATAATAATAAAATAAAAATATCAATAATAATGATGATAATTCTCCCTGGAGGTGGGAAGTACAGTGTCTGTACTCTGAAGGATTGAGGATGTTAACAGTCCTGGAGGTGGGAAGTACAGTGACTGTACTCTGAAGGATTGAGGATGTTAACAGTCCTGGAGGTGGGAAGTACAGTGACTGTACTCTGAAGGATTGAGGATGTTAACAGTCCTGGAGGTGGGAAGTACAGTGACTGTACTCTGAAGGATTGAGGATGTTAACAGTCCTGGAGGTGGGAAGTACAGTGACTGTACTCTGAAGGATGAGTGAGGATGTTAACAGTCCTGGAGGTGGGAAGTACAGTGACTGTACTCTGAAGGATTGAGGATGTTAACAGTCCTGGAGGTGGGAAGTACAGTGACTGTACTCTGAAGGATTGAGGATGTTAACAGTCCTGGAGGTGGGAAGTACAGTGACTGTACTCTGAAGGATTGAGGATGTTAACTGTCCTGGAGGTGGGAAGTACAGTGACTGTACTCTGAAGGATGAGTGAGGATGTTAACAGTCCTGGAGGTGGGAAGTACAGTGACTGTACTCTGAAGGATTGAGGATGTTAACAGTCCTGGAGGTGGGAAGTACAGTGACTGTACTCTGAAGGATGAGTGAGGATGTTAACAGTCCTGGAGGTGGGAAGTACAGTGACTGTACTCTGAAGGATGAGTGAGGATGTTAACAGTCCTGGAGGTGGGAAGTACGGTGACTGTACTCTGAAGGATGAGTGAGGATGTTACAGTCCTGGAGGTGAGAAGTACAGTGTCTGTACTCTGAAGGATGAGTGAGGATGTTATAGTACTGGAGGTGGGAAGTACAGTGCCTGTACTCTGAAGAATGAGTGAGGATGTTACAGTTCATTGGGTCATTTGAATTACGATATTTTCACGCTTTTGGCAAGACAGCTGTTGGATAAAATGAGCGCTAAGAGTGTGTTTTTTTTTTTTTAGGTTCCCTTTCCTTGGCTGAAAATGGCCAGTTGTGGTTAAAACAATAATAATATTGTGGAACTTATTGTGATTTGCTTTTTAGGGAGTAATTCATCGAGATATCAAATCAGACAACATTCTTCTTGGGAAAGATGGTTCTGTCAAGGTAACGGACTTTGGCTTCTGCGCGAACATTTCTGGAGACGAGAAGCGTCAGACCATGGTTGGTACGCCCTATTGGATGGCCCCTGAGGTAATGTATTGAATATTAATGCTATACTGCCTAAGAGATTTACTTGTCTTAAAAAAACACTGTATGGGTGGGGTTAGAACCCTGTTGCAAGCATGTCATAAAACTCCAGGCCAGTGCATAAGCCTGCCATACCATGGGTTGTTTAGAATCATGTTATTACGATTTCGTGAGTTATGTGTTGAGTTCACTAGCTACATGCCCATGAACTTAATGCATACACAGGTTTCTGAATAGGCTTTTATTGGGCCAATATTTTGCTACATATGGTCATACCTCGTTAATACGGCACTCACCTTATAGTGCTTTGCTAATACGGCATTTATCAGTTATATTCATGTTTATTGTTTTCAGTGATGCATTGTTCTTAAGATGGTTTTTGGCAATTTTTAAATTTTTATTTATTATTTTTTATTATCACACTGGCCGATTCCCACCAAGGCAGGGTGGCCCGAGAAAGAAAAACTTTCACCATCATTCACTCCATCACTGTCTTGCCAGAAGGGTGCTTTACACTACAGTTTTTAAACTGCAACATTAACACCCCTCCTTCAGAGTGCAGGCACTGTACTTCCCATCTCCAGGACTCAAGTCCGGCCTGCCGGTTTCCCTGAACCCCTTCATAAATGTTACTTTGCTCACACTCCAACTTGACGTGCTGTTGGAGTGTGAGCAAAGTAACATTTATGAAGGGGTTCAGGGAAACCGGCAGGCCGGACTTGAGTCCTGGAGATGGGAAGTACAGTGCCTGCACTCTGAAGGAGGGGTGTTAATGTTGCAGTTTAAAAACTGTAGTGTAAAGCACCCTTCTGGCAAGACAGCGATGGAGTGAATGATGGTGAAAGTTTTTATTTTTCGGGCCACCCTGCCTTGGTGGGAATCGGCCAGTGTGATAATAAAAAAAAAAAATATTTTTTAATTTGTAATTGCTTTTTTAGGCCTAGTGCTATTGTATACTTAATAAATGATAGTGTAAACATTTTTTAGGCTTTTATATACACTTGCAAGTGAAAAAAAGGCTGTGATTCACTTTAAGGCAATATTGGCTTTACGAAGCGGTCTGGAACCTGACTCGCCGTATTAGCAAAGTTTGCCCATATAAAGATTTATCAATTATATTCTACACAGAGTACAAAGTCTGATAAAAACCCATTCAACAACCTGTGTATGTTACTGTTACTATCAGTATACTACAGGTCCACATTCCTTTATCCAAAACCCTTCCGGCCAGTATTGTTTTGAATTTCAGAATGATTCTCAACACCGCCACGTGGCGGCGTGACCCAGCACTGAGATGACTGACGCTCCACACTCCACGAAAAACCTTTGGTTTTCGGAACATTTCCAGTTTCAGAATTTTGGATAAAAGGTTGTGGACCTGTATTTAGATCTCCCTTTATAGTTTTAAATAGGTTTATGTGGGCTACAGTTAACATTCTTAATATAATTATACCTTTATTTAAGGTTAAGTGTAATTACACTTACAGGATCAAGACTTTGCTTAATATTCTTGGAAACACAAAAACTCTATAAAATATTTTTGATCCAAGTACCGAAGCTTTCCACATTGTTTACACTACAGATTATTACTGTTGCCGTTAGTTTAACATCTGTATTATGCAGCCCATACCCATCCTATGGGCAGTAGTCAAAGGATTACAAAGGTAAATAATGGGTCCAGTGACTGGTACATAATGGGTCCAGGGACTGGTATATAATGGGTCCAGGGACTTGTACATAATGGGTCCAGGGACTGGTACATAATGGGTCCAGGGACTTGTACATAATGGCTCCAGGGACTTGTACATAATGGGTCCAGGGACTGGTACATAATGGGTCCAGGGACTGGACCACAAAGTTTTGATAGCTGAACAAGTTAGTGGTAAGTGCTGCATAATACGTCATAACATAATTTTGTGGTATTAATTTCCCTTGTGTATATTTTCTGAAATCCAAGTAAGGTGGCAGTATCAAACCATGGGATGGACTGAGTTTCAACCCATGGCAAATGAGTGATGAAACTCCAGGTCTGGAGTTGTAGCACTCACCAGGTTCAAACCCCATCCGTTCTGTGGTTTGTAATCATGTTGTTGCGATGTCATGAGTCATAGTGTCAGTATCATTATTAGCTTAAATTTGCCTGAAATACTCTTCATATTAAGGGGCTTTCTGCATGCACATTTAAATGTCATTTACCATTATACAAACATTGTATTATGCTGAAATAGAATTTTTAAGCTTTATATGATGTAAATGGTTTAGAAAATTGACATGTTGCAGAATGAAACACTTTGCAACATTTGGAATCTTTATTCAGGAAATATTTTTCCAGCCAGCGGCTTCTTCAGTCCAGTATAGAGAATAACAGAGGAAGATGAGGAAGAGTATGAGGTAAACAGTCCCTCAGCCTGGAGTTGATGTGTTCAGTTTGTCTATTCTCAAAACTGAGGACTGAACACATTGATTCCACACTAAGGGACTGATTATCCCATACTCTTCCTCATCTTCCTCTGTTAACCTCTGTATTGGACTGAAAAAGCCAAAAGTGTCTAATTCTTCAATATCATTTATATTTCATAACACATATCATACAAGGAAAAATGCCTTGTTCAAAAGATTTAAAACTATCTTCCTTGGATCAAACCTGATTACCTTCCATTCCTCAGGCACTGCTTGACTGCCCATAGCTTTAGTGCTTCCTCATTAATATAGTTATAATCTTATACATCATGTCTCACTGGAAGTTTACTCTGCAGGTTGTGAATCGTAAACATTATGGCAAGAAGGTCGACATATGGTCGCTCGGTATTATGGCCATTGAAATGATTGAAGGTGAACCACCTTACCTGAAAGAGACACCACTTCGAGCGTTGTATCTCATTGCTTGTAATGGCAAACCTGAAGTCCCTTCATGGACTAAATTAACTCCTGAGTTCCAGGTAACCCAAAGAACAAAAACACACAATACCGTGACTGGAACAATACACAAATAACCCGCACGTAGGAGAAAGCAACTTATGACGACTTTTCAATCCAACTTGGACCATCACCTAATCTAAGTCGAACTGAAACGTTATCATAAGTTTCTTTCTCCTATGTGTGGGTTATTCGTGTATTGTTCCAGGTAAACTGTTTGCCTGTCTTTATACTGCTTCTTCCTACTTTCTGTACTGACAGCTGTACTAGGCTCGGTCAAGTCATCAGTACTCAATTCCTTGCATGGATGCGCATCCCTGCATGCAGTATCAATAATTTCTCACAGCATCATAGTTTTGTGTTCCAATTGCCTGACCCCTGCCTTATAGTGCTCCAGTAGCCTCCTCTTTAACCTGATATTATAATAAATTTGGGTTGGATTGTGGTGATAAATAATTCCTAATTTGTAGATTACAATTTAATCAGATTCTTCTAACTTGAGGCTCTGATGTTACCTACACAGGACTTCCTCAACCAGTGTCTTGAAGTAGATGTGGATAGACGAGCATCAGCAGAAGAGCTCCTGGCCCACAAGTTCCTCACGAAGGCCGTCAGTACGACTACTCTCAAACCTCTCATCGAAGCTGCTCAAAAAATCCTCGGGAAGCGTATCAGCCATGCCACATAGCTCTGTGTATATATTAGTGGTTGTACTAAGCACTAGGACAACATTCTCATTCATTACATTCAGGTTTATAATAGATTACGTGACATTCACTTTAAAAATCCCACGTCCATGAATCAAGTCTGTACTTCCTATTGACATTCTTAACTTGCTAGGCTTCTATAATTCCAAGGTTATTCAGTTTTGTGCTGTAGATAAAAAAAATTCATTAGGAGGCACTGAAGTCTCATCTTCACAAGATACATAATTACAAATTCCGTTACTGTATTTAAAAGGTGTGGACAAAAAAGTGCAGAATGAGATGAAAATAATTTTTTGTATGTAAATAGGTTGTTTTGGTGGTATATATTCTTTGGTGGTATATATTTCTCAAATTTTGGGTCATATTCTTTCATCTTTGATGAGAATTTTGCAGTTTTTTATTGTTTTCAAAGAGGGTGCCATGATACTGGTAAAATGTTCTTGATCTAAGGAACTGGAGCAACCCTCCCCTGTTTACTACCCATTAATGACCCCTATGGATTTAGCAGTTATCTGTAATAATAATTCACAGATACTTATTGAACCTCTCTGTCTCTCCAATTATCTAGTTTTCCTTATTAACATTATATTCCTTCCTTGTGATAATCAGTTCACATTTGATATAGGTGCAGTTCCATGGGTGATTGAATGAGTGATGGTGAAAGTGATTCCTCTTTTTTGGATCACCCTACCTTAGCAAGAGACAGCTGGTGTGTTAAAAATAATAATTATATGCTGCCAGTGTGTCTCTGCCTTATCAGGTCATCTTAAGTATCTTGTATGCCATAATTGTATCTCTGCCCTATTGAGTCGTCTTAAGTATCTTGTATGCCATAATCGTATCTCCCCTGGTTCTCTCTTATTTATAAGGAGTTAAAATTAAAATTTGAATATCGTTTAAATATACATTCCACTTAATTTTAAAACCTGGATTTTTAAACCATTTACATCTCATATTTCTAGCATTTATTAACGTGTCTTCCTTCTTTGTGTCGCTTTGCCTTGGTGGGAGATGATCGTTGTTTTAAAAAAAATTGTAGCATTTATAGCAAACATATTGCTCAATATATATAAGATTTTGTTCAGGTGTTTATCATATGTTCTTCAGACATCTAACTTTTATTAGTTTTTTTTTTTTTCCTTTCAGTATTTTCTGAAGTCTGACCTTCACGGGTCATTTTTTTCTCCTCTTGAAGTATTTTCTGAAGTCTGACCTTGACCGGTCATTTTTTTTCTCCTCTTGAAGTATTTTCTGAAGTCTGACCTTGACCGGTCATTTTTTTTCTCCTCTTGAAGTATTTTCTGAAGTCTGACCTTGACCTGTCATTTTTTTTCTCCTCTTGAAGCATTTTCTGAAGTCTGACCTTGACCGGTCATTTTTTTTCTCCTCTTGATGTATTTTCTGAAGTCTGACCTTGACCGGTCATTTTTTTTCTCCTCTTGAAGTATTTTCTGAAGTCTGACCGTGACCGGTCATTTTTTTTCTCCTCTTGAAGTATTTTCTGAAGTCTGACCTTCACGGGTCATTTTTTTTCTCCTCTTGAAGTATTTTCTGAAGTCTAACCTTGACCGGTCATTTTTTTTCTCCTCTTGAAGTATTTTCTGAAGTCTGACCTTCATGGATCATTCCCCCCATGAAGTATTTTTTAAATTTTGATTTGGTGGATAATTTCCCCTCGTAAAATGCTGTCTGAAATTCTTTGATAGTTTTATTTCATGAAGTATTTTCTGGACTTTTACATTAGATTTTTATCATCATGAACTATTTTTTGAAGTTTAAATTTGACATTTAATGTTACCTCATGAAATATTTTCTGAAAGTCCACTTACGGTAGATAATTTTTTCGTATTATCCACCGATTCAGGTCAGATCTTAGAATTTTCTTGTGTATAAATATAATTTTGAAAAGACCAAGCAGGCAGTACAAAGCTGTGACTGGAGATTATAACTGAAATTTAACGATGAATTTATTGAGAATTTTGCTAATTGCATCGGGAATTTTACTAATTGTATCGAGAATTTTTCTAATTGCGTTGAGAATTTTACTAATTTCATTGAGAAATTTAATTTTTCACTCTGATTAAAATGTATTGCTTATTTTAGGTGTTCAAAATTATTTTGGGATCCGAAGTATTGTTTATCATCTGTAAGTCGATTTTTTTTTATCCAAAAAACAAGGCCAGTGTTGTATTACTTTAATTTACAATCAAGGTGTATAAATTTTTCTTCGCAAATTTAAAGGTCAGGATTGGACCCTTATTTCTCGTGATAGGTGTAAATTATCTGTTGTCTATCAAGCTATCCCTTTCAGTTGGGCTCCTTGATACTAGTGAAAAGCCTTTGATGCAAGGAATTGGAGTGAGGCTTGGTCATGGACCGGGCCACGGGGGATATTGATTCCTGGAACACCCTCCACATTTCCCAGGTGTTATATGATCTCTGCCGGTTGAACACTTCCCATGAATAATAATAGTCATAATAATAATCATAATAATAATACAGTGGACCCCCGGTTTACGATATTTTTTCATTCCAGAAGTATGTTCAGGTGCCAGTACTGACCGAATTTGTTCCCTTAAGGAATATTGTGAAGTAGATTAGTCCATTTCAGACCCCCAAACATACACGTACAAACGCACTTACATAAATACACTTACATAATTGGTCGCATTGGGAGGTGATCGTTAAGCAGGGGTCCACTGTAATAGTAATATTTGTGAATGGATTCAGGGAAACTGGTTAACTGGACTCGAGTCCTGGAGGTGGGAAGTACAGTGTCTATACTCTCAAGGAGAGGTGGTAATATGTTACAGTTTTACTTAACTGTAGTGTCAGTATGCCTCTGACAGGACAGTGATGGAGTGAGTGATGGTGAAAGTGTTTCTTCTTTTTTAGGGTCACTCTGCCTCAGCGGAAAACGACCATTGTGATCAGTTATGTCCATCATGGTGGACTTAAAAAAAAATTACAGTATTGATTTCAGTAAGTTTTCCTATTATTGAAGTTAGTCGAAGTCAAAGATTAATTTCCACATGATACCCTCTTCAAGGGGGGCTCCTTGGCGTGGTGAAGAGGCTCTTGGTCTGAGGAATTAGACCTATCGGTCTTCTTCCTCAGACCGAACCTAATTACCCCCCAATCTCCCCTCCCCTATCCCATCCTCCCCATCCTCCCCTTTTTCCTTTCCTCCTCCTCCTCCCCACTCCTCCCTTTTGCCCTTCCTCTTTTTGTCCTTTGGGATTTCTCCCACAGGCGCGCTAGTTCCTAGGTAGGGGAAAGGACACCGGGGTCCATCCCATTCCGTGAGGTTTCTTGGCGGTGGCGTAGTTTGCCGTGGAATCTGGATTGCCTAGGGATGTCCCGATCCCTCTCCGGTATCCCGGAGTAGCTTTGGGTGTCTTTTGGGCGACGGGTGTATCTCTGGAAGCCACCTTTGGGATTCCGGGGTGGTGGCTGAAGGAGGTATGCTTTGTGGCGGATATCCGGCCGCCCTCTCTTTTGTCCACCGAGGTAGCTGGGCAGATGTGAGGTTGCTATCCCAGATTGTGGTTTACTGGCATGAAGGTGGGGTATGGCACGGGTTCCATGCTGCATCTGCGCTACTAGGGTGTCGAGTCCTCTTGGGGCCGCGGAGGGAGATTTCTGGCCCTTTCATTCCTCCTAGGAACTATCCCCCCCCTTCCCCCCTTTTTTTTTTCTTTTTTTTATTTTTTTTTCTTTTCTTCTTTCTTTTTTTTTCTTAAAAACAAAAAGAAAGAAGTAACCTAACCATGGCGCCCTAGTCCAATGAACCTGGTACCCCCGGGCCCCTTCTTGATACCGCACCCCGTTCTGACCCCGCCTCGTCTTTGGACCACTCTTCAGACATTCCTCATGCCTCTGTACCTATTGCCGGTGCTGTTTCCTCACCTGCTTCGGGTACTGAGGCCTCGACGACTCCTTCGATTTATCAGACCCTTCGCTCTCCTCTGACTATGCTTCCGGCCTCTCCCTCTACGGTGCGGCAATTTTCAAATCGCCGACCCTTTCCCAAACGTCGGACCAACTCTGGTCCCCACCCTAAACGTCAACGACAATTACCTGCTGATGATACTTCTCCACCTTCACCTTCTCGTTCTTCTCAGAAACGATCGACACGTCCTTCACTATTTTTCCACGCTCAGTTTCAGACTGAACAGTGGACTAAATTCTTCACTTTACGACCAACTTCCTCTACTGCCTATCTTTCTGACCATAGTATTGGCAAGGCACTCCTACGCCTGTTGGTAAAGATATTTCTTTTCATGCTCTTAAGAGCGGTAACGCGCATCATTACTGTACAGAATGCTACCCAGGCTCGTGAGCTCTCTCGTCTTTCCCATATAGATACTGTTCCTGTCACCTTGAAAAACATCATTCCCTCAATTCTTGTAGTGGTACCGTTATTCTGCCCCATACCATAGTTCAACAAAATTTCCAGACATGTGGCACCGACATTCTAGAACAGCTGGAACTCCAAATCTCCCAATCCTCAAGGTAGACACTTACGTTCTTCTGCCGTGGGCGGGGGACGATACCCTAAGCAATGTGGCTCGTTTAATTTTTTGACAGCCGAGAACTCCCATCCTCAGTTTATATAGCAGGACATCGGTTACAAGTTCAAAAAGGTGATCCCTACACCACAACATTTGTAGAAATTGCTGGCAAATTTGGCCATCCAGCGAAATATTTGCAGATCTATCGCCGAATGCCCAGTCTTGGTGGTGCCGATGACCTTTTCTAATACGTCTTGCAATCGATCTCCCTCTTGCCTTAACTGTCATGAGGCTCACCCTTCGTACTCTCGCCGTTGTCAGGTCTAATTTAAACGAGCGGGAAATCCGTTACCTCAAAGAGACAGAAGGTCTCCCTTTTTGCCATGGCAGTTTCTCATCTCCGCCTCCAAAGGGGAGACTCCCACGTGTTTTTTAAATTCCCGTGTTTCAAAACGTCCCCCCACTTCTGGTATCCCATCTTCTAAAACCCCCCTCTGTGGTTACCTCTCCCTAATCACTCCTGTATCTAATCCTTTTGCTGTCCTCGGCTCAGACGTCCCTACTTCAACGCCTCATCTAATCTCGTTTCTTCGAGTTCTCTCTTACAAGCCTCAGTATCGACGAACCTCGTACGACCCCTCTTCCCAATCGTCCCTCTACTTCTCAAAAGTCAAAAAAAGGTCCGGTAACACCTCCTACCCATCTTCCACCTCCTCATTTTACCCCCCCTGTCTCTGTCCCTAGTTCTTCCCCTCTCACGGCTCAGTTACAAGTGCAGAGGTTCCCCCTTTCCTCCTCGTAATGTACCTTCCTCCCCTGTTCCCTCCCAAGTTTCTTCCTCTTCTGCCACCTCCAGGTTCCTGTCTCTTCTGTCCCTCCCCACGCTTCTCCAGTTCCCTCCACCCTTTCCCCCCCCCCTACCTTGGTACAGTCCAATACAGTTCCAATCTTTACTCATCCTCCCCCCTACCATTCCCAATATTGTCCCCCATACGACATCCCCTAAATTCCGAAACACTTGAAGCAATCTCTGAATATATTGCAGAGACCCAACCATCAATGGACACTGATCCACCTTCCGCTCTTTCTCTCTCCTCTGCTCCATCTGCGCAACTCCTTTCTTCACAGCGCACCGTTCCTTCGCTGCTTGAACATTTTCCACTGCCTCCGCATGTGGACTTTTCTAACCCTTCTAGTCCGTAGGAACCCTTACCTGCGGTTTTCAAGTATCTCTATCATTGCCAATCATGGCCTTTTTACAGTGGAATATACCGGGCCCCTCAGGGTAATCGGGGTGAGCTTCAGATGTTACTCTCCCAGTTTGCCCCTGTTGGGTTTGCTTACAAGAACCAAAAATTACACTCTGCTGTTATTTCTCACATCTCAGGCTATAATTTATTGTATTCTTCGGGATCCTTTTCCTGATGGGACCTTTAATGAAAGTGCCCTTCTTCTCCGCACTGATATTCCGTACCATCAGCTATTTGTTCATACTTGCTGCATTACACAGCAGCCCGTATCCACTACATAGGTGGTATACGCTCTGTTCTTTATATCTCTCTCCTTCTCGGGCATTATCTTTTCCGGATTTTGCCTTCCTTGTTTCGTCATTACCGCCACCGATTCTGTTACTTGGTGATTTTAATGCCCACCATTTCCTCTGGGGAGGGTCTCACTGTGATTCCCGAGGAATTCAGTTTTGAGGCTTTTCTTGCCACCCACCCCCTCCATGTTTTAAATACAGGTACTCACACCCATTTTGATCCCGGACTCATACTCCTCTTGCATCGAAACTCTCAGTTTTTCTCTTCCTCCACCGCATTTGACTTTACTTGGTCTGTTCTCCCGGACTTACATGACAGTGATCATTTCCCAATCATTCTTACTTTCCCCTTCATATTCGCCACCTCTTCGCACCCCACGCTGGCAATTTAATCGGGCAAATTGGAACCTTTACTCACACCTGACTGTTTTTTAAAGAGGTTCCCTTTTTCGTCCTCCATCGATGAGCTTTTCACCTCTTCTCGTCCTCCGTTTTCACCCCAGCTTCTCATTCTATACCCCAACTTTGGGGAGGCATTCTCAGAAATGCGTGCCTTGGTGGTCTCCTGCTTGTGCTCGTGCAGTACGTTTGAAACGCGCTGCATGGGGCAGGTTTCCGGTACAATAGAACCCCAGAGCGACTCCTTGATTTAAACAGAAGCGTGCGATCGCTCGCCGTGTTTATCCGTGACGCTAAACGCACTTGCTGGCGGAATTATGTCTCCACCATCACCTCTGCTTCCCCTATGAGTGCAGTCTGGAAAAAGTACGAAAACTGAGTGGTAAATATTCTCCTGACCCGGCTCCTGTTCTGGGGGGGTTGCCGGGTTGATTTTAGCAAACCCACTAGATGTTGCCAATGAAATTGGCAATCATCTGGTCCGTATTTTCTCAGGGACTCCATCTATGCCCTCATTTCTTTCCTCAAAGTCTGCCAGAGAGTTAGCACCCTTGGACTTTTTTTCTCTCAGAGAAGAACAGTATAATTGCCTTTTTCACTTCAAGAAACTGGAGGCAACACTCTAGCTTGTCGATCATCGGCAGCTGGGCCCGACGACATTCATATTCGTATGCTACAACATTTACATCAGTCAGCCCTTGCAGTCCTATTACCCTTTACAATCTTATTGGTCACAAGGAGTTCTTTCCACAGCTGTGGAATCCGCCATTGTTCTCCCTTTCCGCAAACCAGGCACACGGACATGAAACCTCCCACTATCGTCCCATTGCTCTTACCAGTGCAGTTTGCAAATTTAAAGGAACGTCTAGTAAATAGACGTTTAGTGTGGTATTTAGAGACACACAACAGTCTCTCCACTCGTCAATATGGCTTTTGTAAGGGACGTTCTACCATAGACCCCTTACTGCGCTTGGATACGTATGTTCGTAATGCCTTTGCGAATAAACCACTCAGTTATTGCCATATTTTTGACCTTGAAAGGCATATGACACAACTTGGAGTATAATATTTAGCCCAACCCACTCCTTAGGCTTCGAGGCAATCTACATCCTTCTTAAAACTTTTTAATGACAGGCATTTCCGTGTTCGGGTTAATAATGTGCTTCCTCCCGGGCTTTTATCCAAGCTGAAGGTGTCCCCCAGGGAATGTGTTTAGACAACACTTTTTTCCTTTGCTATTAATGAATTTTGGGCCCCTAGCTTTCCATCAAAATATTTGGTCATCACTCTATGTTGATGACTTTGCTATTGCCTGTGCAGGCGCTGACTGTCACCTCCTTACAGTTTCTCTCCAGCATGCAGTCGACCGTGTTTTCCCAAATTTGGGGCCCCCACACATGGGTTTAAAATTTCCCACTAAAAACCCCCCAATCACTTTCACTAGACGCTCTGTCTCTTCGATCATCCTTTTTACCTCTATGGCTCACGTTCCCTGAACGTGATACAGTCAAGTTTCTGGGCCTCCTCTTTGATCGTAGTTATCCTGGAAACCTCACATTACCTCTCTGAAGGCAACTTGTCACAGCCGGCTGAACCCTTTTTAAAACCCTTTTCTCATCTTTCGTGGGAGCTGATCGTCGAAAACCCCCCTTCACCTACATTCCACCCTTATTTTAAACGAAACTTGATTATGGTGACCAGATCTATTCAGGCGGGATCTCCTGCTACTCTCTCTAGCCTTAACCCCATTCATCACCCAAAGGGTTTACGTTTATGCCTTGGTGCTTTTCGCTCTTCCCCTGTCGAAAGCCCCTATGCAGAAGCGAACGTTCCATCCTTATCCGATCGCCGTGATGCCCATTGCCCGCGCTACTATGTACGCTCTCATGATCTCGCAATCCTTTTCCCTTTATAGAATGGTCACTGATATTAGTGACATTCTTTATTTGTTCGCCGCC